CTCAAGCACTCGTGTGCTCAAGCACTCTTGTGCTCAAGCACTCGTGTGCTCAAGCACTCGTGTGCTCAAGCACTCGTGTGCTCAAGTACTCAGGTGCTCACGCTACTCAGTTCTTTAGCTATATTGGTCAGTGTGAGTTTAAGAGTCAGGCGCTGACAATTTTTAATGAGTCAGGTAATTTTTTATATTTGTCTGGGAAACCAAGAGAACACTGACGTGTGTTACATGATGACCCGTCTTGTTGACCTTGTCGTGGTGGGTACTGGCATGGTGCGGTACCTAACACTGGGTGAGGCATGGTGCGGTACCTAACACTGGGTGAGGCATGGTGCGGTACCTAACACTGGGTGAGGCATGGTGCGGTACCTAACACTGGGTGAGGCATGGTGCGGTACCTAACACTGGGTGAGGCATGGTGCGGTACCTAACACTGGGTGAGGCATGGTGCGGTAACTAACACTGGGTGAGGCATGGTGCGGTACCTAACACTGGGTAAGGCATGGGGCAGTACCTAACACTGGGTGATGTATGTAGCAGTACCTAACACTGGGTGAGGCATGGAGCAGTACCTAACACTGGGTGAGACATGGAGCAGTACCTAACACTGGGTGAGGCATGTAGCAGTACCTAACACTGGGTGAGACATGGAGCAGTACCTAACACTGGGTGAGACATGGAGCAGTATCTAACACTGAGTGAGGCATGGAGCAGTACCTAACACTACGTGCAGCATGCAGTGCCTAACACTGGGTGAGACATGGAGCAGTACCTAACACTGGGTGAGGCATGGAGCAGTACCTAACACTGGGTGCAGCATGCAGTTCCTAACACTGCGTGAGGCATGTAGTGCATAACACTGAGTGAGGCATGGAGCAGTACCTAACACTGGATGCAGCATGCAGTACCTTACACTGGGTGCAGCATGCAGTACCTAACACTGGGTGCACTGTGTAGTACCTAACACTGGGTGCAGTGTGCAGTACCTAACACAGGGTGCAGCATGCAGTACCTAACACTGGGTGCAGTATACAGTACCTAACACTGGGTGCAGCATGCAGTACCTAACACTGGGTGAGGCACGCAGCACCTAACACTGGGTGCAGCATGCAGTACCTAACACTGGGTGAGGCATGGAGCAGTACCTAACACTGGGTGAGGCATGCAGTACCTAACACTGGGTGAGGAATGCAGTACCTAACACTGGGTGAGGCATGGAGCTGTGCCTAATACTGGGTGAGGCATGGAGCAGTACCTAACACTACGTGCAGCATGCAGTACCTAACACTGGGTGAGACATGGAGCAGTACCTAACACTGGGTGAGGCATGGAGCATTACCTAACACTGGGTGAGACATGGAGCAGTACCTAACACTGGGTGAGGCATGGAGCAGTACCTAACACTGGGTGAGACATGGAGCAGTACCTAACACTGGATGAGGCATGGAGCAGTACCTAACACTAGGTGCAGCATGGAGTACCTAACACTGAGTGAGGCATGCAGTACCTAACACTGGATGAGGCATGCAGTACCTAACACTGGGTGCAGCATGCGGTACCTAACACTGGGAGAGGCATGCAGTACCTACCACTGGGTGCATCATGTGGTACCTAACACTGGGAGAGGCATGCAGTACCTAACACTGGGTGAGACATGGACCAGTACCTAACACTGGGTGAGACATGGAGCAGTACCTAACACTGGGTGAGACATGGAGCAGTACCTAACATTGGGTGAGGCATGCAGTACCTAACACTGGGTGCAGCATGCAGTACCTAACACTAGGTGAGGCATGGAGCAGTACCTAACACTAGGTGAGGCATGGAGCAGTACCTAACACTGGGTGAGGCATGGAGCAGTACCTAACACTGGGTGAGGCATAGAGCAGTACCTAACACTGGGTGAGGCAAGTAGTACTTAACACTGGGTGAGGCATGCAGTACCTAACACTGGGTTAGGCATGCAGTACCTAACACTGGGTGAGGCATGGAGCAGTACCTAACACTGGGTGAGGCATGGAGCAGTACCTAACACTGGGTGAGGCATGGAGCAGTACCTAACACTGGGTGAGGCATGGAGCAGTACCTAACACTGGGTAAGGCATGGAGCAGTGCCTAACACTGGGTGAGGCATGGAGCAGTACCTAACACTGGGTGAGTCATGCGGTACCTAACATTGGGTGAGGCAAGCAGTACGAAACACTGGGTGAGGCATGCAGTACCTAACAGTGGGTGAGGCACGGAGTAGTACCTAACACTGGGTGCAGCATGCAGTACCTAACACTGGGTGCAGCATGCAGTACCTAACACTGGGTGCGGCATGCAGTACCTAACACTGGGTGCAGCATGCAGTATCTAACACTGGGTGCAGCATGCAGTACCTAACATTGGGTGAGGCATGGAGCAGTACCTAATACTTTGTGAAGCATGGAGCTGTGCCTAACACTGGGTGAGGCATGGAGCAGTACCTAACACTGGGTGAGGCATGGAGCAGTACCTAACACTGGGTGAGGCATGGAGCAGTACCTAACACTGGGTGAGGCATGGAACAGTACCTAACACTGGGTGAGGCATGGAGCAGTACCTAACACTAGGTGAGGCATGGAGCAGTACCTAACACTGGGTGAGGCATGGAGCAGTACCCAACACTGGGTGAGGCATGGAGCAGTACCTAACACTGGGTGAGGCATGGAGCAGTACCTAACACTGGGTGAGGCATGGAGCAGTACCTAACACTGGGTGAGGCATGGAGCACTACCTAACACTGGGTGAGGCATGGATCACTACCTAACACTGGGTGAGGCATGGAGCAGTACCCAACACTGGGTGAGGCATGGAGCAGTACCTGACACTGGGTGAGGCATGGAGCACTACCTAACACTGGGTGAGGCATGGAGCACTACCTAACACTGGGTGAGGCATGGAGCACTACCTAACACTGGATGAGGAATGGAGCAGTACCTAACACTGGGTAAGGCATGGAGCAGTACCTAAGAATAGGTGAGGCATGGAGCAGTACCTAACACTGGGTGAGGCATGGAGCACTACCTAACACTGGGTGAGGCATGGAGCACTACCTAACACTGGATGAGGAATGGAGCAGTACCTAACACTGGGTAAGGCATGGAGCAGTACCTAAGAATAGGTGAGGCATGGAGCAGTACCTAACACTGGGTGAGGCATAGAGCAGTACCTAACACTGGGTGAGGCATGCAGTACCTAACACTGGGTTAGGCATGGAGCAGTACCTAACACTGGGTGAGGCATGCAATACCTAACACTACGTGCAACGTGCAGTACCTAACTCTGCGTGCAGCATGCAGTACCTAACAGGTACTGCATGCTGTCAAATGGACGACCTGAGGTTGTCAAATGGACGACCTGATGACCCCACCAGCTGGTACCTATGGTAGCTGTCCAGCTGTGGAAGTATTACTGGAGGTCACCTGCGGATCTAAAAGTAATGTTCTTTTATTTTTGTCCTCAAACATTACTAGCTGAATGCTGCTGGAACCTCTGGCATTCCATCGAGATAGGCAGTGTTGATGAATGTTGCTCTGTTAATTCTAGGCGAATCATTTGGGGGTGTGGGGACTATTCCTAAGAATGCTCCTGTTATCTCTCTCTTGAGTAGTGCTGGGGGATTGTTTCCTCCTAGCATAGCAAGCTCTTTATGTGTTGTTTTTAACTTTTCTTATCAGCGATGCTGGTGCGCGCGTTACATTTTTCAGTAGCTGGGTGGTGGATCACCATTGCCTTGATGTACACTTCTACTAAGCACTCATCGGCATAACTTCAGGAGGGCAATATGCTCGCTTGTATTACAATCCACCTCCGTCTAAGTCTGAAGTGGTAGTTATAGTAGAAAGTTGAGAGGTCTTGCAACCTAATATCCGACATGCTTCAAAGGACAATCTGGTGTGCCACTGGATATTTGAATCAGGTGTTATCGCATTGTTAACCGCTTCTGGAGTATGGTAGTGAGAGGACATTCTGCTTCTTAATCCCTTTAGTAGTTGCTTAAAAAATAATAAAGATGTGTGGATTTGTGAACACTAATTCATTATTTCGCACATTCGACGAGGTGGACCTTCCTCTTCACTGAAATACTGGGTAGAAGGACATGAATGTGAAGCTATATGTTCTCTTCTCAGTTTAATGTTTAAAGGGTCAGAAATTGAGTGACAAGTAGACAAGGTGTACAGCTACTCTAAACACCTGTAAGAGGATATTTCAGTGTCACAACTTTGGGGGTTCCACAAAATAAATTAGTCATATGAGGTACACGAGAGATTGCATTGCACTATGTGTAAATGGTAAAGATGGGTTTTATAGAAACCAGTAAGAGGGCGAACCTCCTGCATCTTGGTCGATTTTATAGCAACCATTTTTTCGGGATACAGGAGCTTGGGGGCTCTTCCTATTTTGCCTTCAGGCACCCTACTGATAGCCCTGTCATCCTTTTGTTGCAGCCTCCGCATGGAACGGGAAATGTTGTTGAAAATGGTATATAATATCGACAAACTGAAGATTAAGACACATATGCAACAGTTGGGTATATTGATGAAACGTTTCGCCTACACAAAGATGATATAATCAGTCCATCAACCTTGGAGAAAAAGTATTTGAGATGGTCAGTCCCTCAGCCTGGAGAAGAGTTCAGCTCCTGGTTACACTACATTGTGAACAGTAGAGAGGGAAGGAAGCAGTGAGTTGGTGTGGGGTGAGGATAGCGGAGATTTTTGGATGTTGGGATGGAAAGGAGTGAGCGGATGTCATTGGGCTAGTAAAGGGGTTGTGCAGGTAGTTTAGTGGGGTGATGTGGGATTATTGTTGGGTTCACTTTAGATGTTGTGCTGGGGAAGTGTAGGGGTTGTGTGGGAGACGAAGCAGTCCAGCAGCTGTGGGACGATGAGTGAACGATGCTATTCATGTTCTGCCTTGCAGAACATTCCTGGTTTACATCTTTCTTACACCCTGTCAGCATCCACCGGGCCACTGATTCTGCCAGAGACTTGTTATACACTATATTATCAACACTATTAATTCCAGGATACCAAATTGAAAATTATCATGAAAATGACGTCAAAAAACTCGTTTTATGCAGAAAATGTCATTATGTTGTATTTCGAAAAGAACAAATTTTAGTGTCCAAATATCACGAGAGACAGTTACATATACATTATGGTAACAACTCTTGGAAGCAAATATGGGTATCGTGTCAGATTTTAGGGTTTACGACGGAGACGATGATGATGGCATGCCTAAATGCAGCTCCCATAATAAGCCTGGGGGGAGACCAGCGCCCCAGTCAGCGAGAAGTGTTGAGTCATCACCAGGCAATCAGTCCCCTTACAGCATTAGTTATTCCCACCCAGCATCGGCTCTATCCTATTCCACTCCAAGAGTTGATAAACAAAAGTCCGCAAAATCAAGGGTCGGGTCCGGATTCAACGTCGCCGTATTTTCTTCTACAAGTTCAGCAAGTAGCGGCAGCTGGTTCATGAGAAGACAGAGTAGACCAGAATCTGAGGTGGTGGTGAAGGCTGCAGTCTCGCCCTGCACCACCCCGGTCCGGAATGTATCGAGGAAACTTTTCATCATAAGTCGTAACAGTCTCTGGCCGCCATCTCCACTTAAACCAATTGAGTTATCCAGCCAATACAAGCAGTCGGAGGACCAAACCTCACAACCATACGAGGATAGGATGAGCCCAACCTTCATCACTTTACCTAGCTCGGGATCAGTCATCCATCCTATCCCTCACAGTGACTGGAGGGAGTTTAGGCCACGTCCTTCAAGTACACTTAGGATATCCAGCATGAGTCAGGTCCTGGCTCAGAGTCCAGCTACTCTACTGCTCAACACCATCATCCCTAGTGCTGGGAACACCTCCATGCCTTCTGTGGACACCTGCTCACTCCACGGCTTCCTCAACGTTCCTTCCAAGATAAAGGTTTTAAAATTCTCTTCAGATATTCTTTTCTGTGCTCCAGTTCCCCGAATTAAGCCTGAATGCCTTCCACATATCCCCCCCAGGCGCTGTATAATCCTCCGGGTTTAGCGCTTCCCCCTTGATTATAATAATAATAATAATAATTCAGATATTCTTCTTGGGTCAACTCTACATTTATTGGCGCTGGTGTTGGGCTTTTGATACAAGGAATTGGAGATATTCTTCCCTTCCTTGCATGATATTAGATTACCCTCCATTTCCAGGAGTTGTTTGACTCCTAGAGGGTCACTGCTTCTCCAGGATTATAATATTAATAATATTCATTATCACAAAGTACCATAATATGTGTGCTTAGTCTTTAATTTTTCTCTTCACAATTTCATGATAAAAAAAGTAGTTCAGTCATTTAAAGGTCTTTGTTAGGTTACAACTCTGTCATGGATTTCTGAGCAATACTGAATGAAGTGGGAAGATGGTTGCGGCTACACCATCAAAAATATTCATACAGATTGTTTTAAAAATAGTATTTCGGTCATATAAATTATTTTAAAGGTACATCAATACATTTATTTTATACAATGGCTAAAACATATTCCGGAACAGTTCAATATAAAATTTGACAGTCTGCCTCACATTGATGTGAGTCAAAACTTGAGCTGATTCCTTTCATACATAAAATTAATCACTTGTTTACATTCACGAACGTTCAAATGCCCGACACCTGGAGTTCTTATTTTTCTTCTTACTAAGTGCGGTCAGAAAAACAGACTTACCAGTCCTTTATGCCTAGATTTTTTTCCAGCTACGACACGCAAATAGCGTTGTCTTGATAGAATAATAATATTTATGGTTTACGGGGAAGGAAGGATTTGCAACCAATTTTTGCTGGGAAATTAGAAAAAGAAGATTGAGTGGATGCCAGGAGACACAGATGGCGGCTTAAGATGCAAATGAGGCATACAGACTTAGGAAATACGTTTTCAGTCTTTGGAGTGTTAAGTGTGCCACTAGATGTAGAGAGGTTGAGTGTACGACTAGATGTAGAGAGGTTGAGTGTACGACTAGATGTAGAGAGGTTGAGTGTACGACTAGATGTAGAGAGGTTGAGTGTACCACTAGATGTAGAGAGGTTGAGTCTACCACTAGATGTAGAGAGGTTGTGTGTACCACTAGATGTAGAGAGGTTGAGTGTACCACTAGATGTAGAGAGGTTGAGTGTACGACTAGATGTAGAGGGGTTGAGTCTACCACTAGATGTAGAGAGGTTGAATCTACCACTAGATGTAGAGAGGTTGAGTCTACCACTAGATGTAGAGAGGTTGAGTCTACCACTAGATGTAGAGAGGTTGAGTCTGCCACTAGATGTAGAGAAGGAGGATGTAAATGCTACATAGTTTCAAGAGTAGATTGAACATTAAAAATGGTATAACGGTGTAGAGTAGATATAACGGTGTTCTTGAAGCCAAAAACGGCAAAGCCAGTCGATAAGAGATAGAAGGCGGAGGTCCAGGAGCTATGCATCACCACTTACAAACACAACTGGGTGACAAAATAATTGCTTGAAAGACAATGATATGCTTGGAAAAATGTGAAAAAAAAAAAAACTGAACAAAGCGAAACTGCTAGAAATATTAGAATTTTTTATTACTTGAGTGGTTGGTGGTAGAGGTGAGGTTAGGTGAGGTGAGATGTGGTGAGGTTAGGTGAGGTGAGATGTGGTGAGGTTAGGTGAAGTTTGTCAGGAAACAAGACTAGTGTTTCCTGACGCTCGTCATTTGAAGACCTGAAGCTGGAGCTTTTGGTAGAGGGAGGGAGGTATGTGGTATTAGCAAGACCCTGTGAATGTCAGTTGATTTATCGTTTGACGATTACTATATTGCTGATCATCGATGGTTCTGTTGTTTTACTATCTCTTATTGCTTGAATATTGTGGATAAGCTATTCTATCACTTAGAAACTATTGTACTATGAGTATTCTGTCATTATACACCTAATCTATGGTTAGATGGCCGTAAATGATCTTTGTATTTGTTCCATCTCTGATAATTCTCCTGCCCTGAGCGGGGCCATCAACACTGAGCAATATTCCAAATGAGAGAACACCATCCATTTAAAAATTGTCACCACTGGCATTAATTCTCTTGTTTGAAAAGTTCTCATTATCCACCCCGTCATCTTACTAGCTGTCGTGACCTTGGACCTATTACGTTCTTTGAAAGAAAGGTCAACGTGTTCCTTTCGTTCTATTTGACAGTCTTCTTGAGTTTTGTATACAGTGTTCCTTTTGAGTTCTTCATTCTTTTCATACTTAATCAGCTGGAACTTATCACCATTGAACATCATGTTATTTTCCACTGCCCACTGAAAAATCCTGCTAATATCTTCCTGCAGTTTTTCAGTGTCTTCTTTCGAGGTGACTATTATGCTTATTTTAATGTCATCTGTAAATGATACAAAACTGTGACGTGTATTTTTATCTATGTCTGCTATGAGAATAAGAAACAAAAGAGGTGCCAGCCCAGTGCCTTGGGGAACTGAGCTTTTAACCTCACTAATGCTGGATTTTGCTCTGTTTACTACTACTTTGTATTCTATACGTTAGAAACCCGAAAATCCATCTGCCTACCTTCCCCGTAATACCTAACTATGGCCTTCATTTTGTGTGCAATCACTCAATGACTGTATTTGTCAAACGCCTTTGCAAAGTCTGTGTATATCACATCTACTTTTGCTTGTTTTATAACATCTCCGTAATTCTGTCATGATGGTTCAGCAGCTGTGACAAGCATGATCCTCCAGTTGTGTCTTTAAGGTCTATTCTTCCAGTTTCCGTTGTGTCTTAAGGTTCATTCTTGCCACTACATGCAACACATTTCTTCCTTGCAGAGTTCGACCAACAGTGAACCTGATGTCAACATGGGCCTGGGCGTGAGGGTGGGCGTGTCGTCGTCGCGGGCGGATCTGGTGCTGGAGGACGGAGGAGGAGGAGGAGACGAGGAGGAAGAGAAAGTGGGAGACTGCGGCTGGCTGTGTCTGCGGCCGCAGTGGCTTCAGCAGACCCGCACCGCCAAGTGGGTTCTCTTTTGGCTGTGCTGGGCTGCGGCGGCACAAGGTGAGGCATCTTCACTGCTGGTACAGTGCCTTCTTCCTGGTACAGTACCTCCTTCCTGGTGCACTACCTCCTTCCTGGTACACTGCCTCCTTCCTGGTACACTACCTCCTTCCTGGTACACTACCTCCTTCCTGGTACACTACCTCCTTCCTGGTACACTGCCTCCTTCTTGGTACGCTACCTCCTTCCTGGTACACTACCTCCTTCCTGGTACAGTACCTCCTTCCTGGTGCACTACCTCCTTCCTGGTACACTGCCTCGTTCCTGGTACACTACCTCCTTCCTGGTACACTGCCTCCTTCCTGGTACGCTACCTCCTTCCTGGTACACTACCTCCTTCCTGGTACACTGCCTCCTTCCTGGTACACTACCTCCTTCCTGGTACACTACCTCCTTCCTGGTACACTACCTCCTTCCTGGTACACTGCTTCCTTCCTGGTACGCTACCTCCTTCCTGGTACACTACATCCTTCCTGGTACACTACCTCCTTCCTGGTACACTACCTCCTTCCTGGTACACTACCTCCTTCCTGGTACACTGCCTCCTTCCTGGTACACTGCCTCCTTCCTAGTACACTGCCTCCTTCCTGGTACGCTACCTCCTTCCTGGTACACTACCTCCTTCCTGGTACAATACCTCCTTCCTGGTGCACTACCTCCTTCCTGGTACACTGCCTCCTTCCTGGTACACTACCTCCTTCCTGGTACACTGCCTCCTTCCTGGTACGCTACCTCCTTCCTGGTACACTACATCCTTCCTGGTACACTACTTCCTTCCTGGTACACTACCTCCTTCCTGGTACACTACCTCCTTCCTGGTACACTGCCTCTTTCCTGGTACACTGCCTCCTTCCTGGTACACTACCTACTTCCTGGTACACTGCCTCCTTACTAGTACACTGCCTCCTTACTAATACACTGCCTCCTTACTAGTACACTACCTCCTTACTAGTACACTGCCTCCTTCCTGGTACACTGCCTCCTTACTAGTGCACTGCCTCCTTACTAGTACACTACCTCCTTACTAGAACACTGCCTCCTTCCTGGTACACTGCCTCCTTACTAGTGCACTGCCTCCTTACTAGTACACTACCTCCTTATTAGTACACTACCTCCTTACTAGTAGACTGCCTCCTTACTAGTACACTACCTCCTTGCTAGTACACTGCCTCCTGACTAGTACACTGCCTCCTTAATGGTACACTGCCTCCTTACTAGTACACTGCCTCCTTACTAGTACACTGCATCCTTATTAGTACACTACCTCCTTACTAGTACACTATTTCCTTACTAGTACACTGCCTCCTTACTAGTACACTGCCTCCTTACTAGTACACTGGCTCCTTACTAGTACACTACCTCCTTACTAGTACACTACCTTCTTACTAGTACACTGCCTCCTTACTAGTACACTACCTCCTTACTAGTAAACTACCTCCTTACTAGTACACTGCCTCCTTACTAGTACACTATCTCTTTACTAGTACACTACCTCCATACTAGTACACTACCTCCTTACTAGTACATTACCTTCTTACTAGTGCACTCCCTCCTTACTAGTACACTGCCTCCTTACTAGTACACTGCCTCCTTACTAGTACACTGCCTCCTTACTAGTGCACTACATCCTTACTAGTACACTACCTCTTTACTAGTACACTATCTCCTTACTAGTACACAACCTCCTTACTAGTACACTGCCTCCTTACTAGTACACTGCCTCCTTCCTGGTACACTGTCTCCTTACTAGTACACTACCTCCTTACTAGTACACTACCTCCTTACTAGTAGACTGCCTCCTTACTAGTACACTACCTCCTTGCTAGTACACTGCCTCCTTACTAGTACACTACCTCCTTCCTGGTACACTACCTTCTTCCTGGTACACTACCTCCTTCCTGGTACACTGCCTCCTTCCTGGTACGCTACCTCCTTCCTGGTACACTACCTCCTTCCTGGTACACTACCTCCTTCCTGGTACACTACCTCCTTCCTGGTACACTGCCTCCTTCCTGGTACACTGCCTCCTTCCTGGTACACTGCCTTCTTCCTAGTACAGTACCTCCTTCCTGGTACACTGCCTCCTTACTAGTACACTGCCTCCTTACTAGTACACTACCTCCTTACTAGTGCACTACCTCCTTACTAGTACATTACCTTCTTACTAGTGCACTGCCTCCTTACTAGTACACTGCCTCCTTACTAGTACACTGCCTCCTTCCTGGTACACTGCCTCCTTACTAATACACTGCCTCCTTACTAGTACACTACCTCCTTACTAGTACACTGCCTCCTTCCTGGTACACTGCCTCCTTACTAGTGCACTGCCTCCTTACTAGTACACTGCCTCCTTCCTGGTACACTGCCTCCTTACTAGTGCACTGCCTCCTTCCTGGTACACTGCATCCTTACTAGTGCGCTGCCTCATTACTAGTACACTGTCTCCTTCCTGGTACACTACCTCCTTACTAGTACACTGCCTCCTTACTAATACACTACCTCCTTACTAGTACACTGCCTCCTTACTAGTACACTGCCTCCTTACTAATACACTACCTCCTTACTAGTACTGCCTCCTTCCTGGTACACTGCCTCCTTGCTAGTACACTGCCTCCTTACTAGTTCACTGCCTTCTTACTAGTGCACTGCCTCCTTACTAGTACACTACCTCCTTACTAGTACACTACCTCCTGACTAGTACACTGCCTCCTTACTAGTACACTGCCTCCTTGCTAGTACACTGCCTCCTTACTAGTACACTGCCTCCTTACTAGTACACTGCCTCCTTACTAGTACACTACCTCCTTACTAGTACACTACCTCTTGACTAGTACACTGCCTCCTTACTAGTACACTGCCTCCTTGCTAGTACACTGCCTCCTTACTAGTACACTGCCTCCTTACTAGTACACTGCCTCCTTACTAGTACACTGCATCCTTATTAGTACACTACCTCCTTACTAGTACACTATTTCCTTACTAGTACACTGCCTCCTTAATAGTACACTGCCTCCTTACTAGTACACTGGCTCCTTACTAGTACACTACCTCCTTACTAGTACACTATCTCCTTACTAGTACACTGTCTCCTTACTAGTACACTACCTCCTTACTAGTAAACTACCTCCTTACTAGTACACTACCTCCTTGCTAGTACACTGCCTCCTTACTAGTACACTGCCTCCTTCCTGGTACACTGCCTCCTTACTAGTACACTGCCTCCTTACTAGTACACTATCTCCTTACTAGTACACTACCTCCTTACTAGTACACTACCTCCTTACTAGTACATTACCTTCTTACTAATGCACTGCCTCCTTACTAGTACACTGCCTCCTTACTAGTACACTGCCTCCTTACTAGTGCACTACATCCTTACTAGTACACTATCTCCTTACTAGTACACTGTCTCCTTACTAGTACACTACCTCCTTACTAGTAAACTACCTCCTTACTAGTACACTACCTCCTTGCTAGTACACTGCCTCCTTACTAGTACACTGCCTCCTTCCTGGTACACTGCCTCCTTACTAGTACACTGCCTCCTTACTAGTACACTATCTCCTTACTAGTACACTACCTCCTTACTAGTACACTACCTCCTTACTAGTACATTACCTTCTTACTAATGCACTGCCTCCTTACTAGTACACTGCCTCCTTACTAGTACACTGCCTCCTTACTAGTGCACTACATCCTTACTAGTACACTGCCTCCTTACTAGTACACTACCTCTTTACTAGTACACAACCTCCTTACTAATACACTGCCTCCTTACTAGTACACTGCCTCCTTACTAGTACACTGCCTCCTTACTAGTACACTGCCTCCTTACTAGTACACTGCCTCCTTCCTGGTACACTGCCTCCTTCCTGGCACACTGCCTCCTTACTAGTACACTACCTCCTTACTAGTACACTACCTCCTGACTAGTACACTACCTCCTTACTAGTAGACTGCCTCCTTACTAGTACACTACCTCCTTACTAGTACATTGCCTCCTTACTAGTACACTACCTCCTTACTAGTACACTACCTCCTTACTAGTACATTACCTTCTTACTAATGTACTGCCTCCTTACTAGTACACTGCCTCCTTACTAGTACACTGCCTCCTTACTAGTACACAACCTCCTTACTAATACACTGCCTCCTTACTAGTACACTGCCTCCTTACTAGTACACTGCCTCCTTACTAGTACACTGCCTCCTTACTAGTACACTGCCTCCTTCCTGGTACACTGCCTCCTTCCTGGCACACTGCCTCCTTACTAGTACACTACCTCCTTACTAGTACACTACCTCCTTACTAGTACATTGCCTCCTTACTAGTACACTACCTCCTTACTAGTACACTACCTCCTGACTAGTACACTGCCTCCTTACTAGTACACTGCCTCCTTACTAGTTCACTGCCTCCTTACTAGTACACTGCCTCCTTACTAGTACACTACCTCCTTACTAGTACACTGCCTCCTTACTAGTACACTACCTCCTTACTAGTACACTGCCTCCTTACTAGTACACTACCTCCTTACTAGTACACTACCTCCTGACTAGTACACTGCCTCCTTACTAGTACACTGCCTCCTTACTAGTTCACTGCCTCCTTACTAGTACACTGCCTCCTTACTAGTACACTACCTCCTTACTAGTACACTGCCTCCTTACTAGTACACTGCCTCCTTACTAGTACACTGCCTCCTTACTAGTACACTACCTCCTTACTAGTACACTGCCTCCTTACAAGTACACTTCCTTCTTCCTGGTACACTGTCTCATTACTATTACATTGCCTCCTTACTAGTACACTGCCTTCTTCCTGGTATACTGCCTCCTTACTAGCACAGTGCCTCCACCCTAGTACAGTGCCTACTTCCTAGTACAGTGCCTCCTCCCTAGTACAGACCTCCTCCATGATACAGTGCCTTCTCCCTGGTACAATGCCTCCTCTCTAGTACAGTGCCTCCTGCCTAGTACAGAGCCTCCTCCCAAGTACA